TGCCCTGCTCTGGGGGTTCTAAATTGGAAGGGGGTGCGAGTGTTCCTTAAAGGGACCCCGGAGAGGTCGCAGCGCAGTCTCTCGCTCTACCCCTCTCACTCCTATAAGAAACTTAGAAGGCGACCTGGACAATTGCTATTGATCTGTAACTTGCCGCCGCCACTTCTAGGGGCAGAAACACAAACGAGAAAACTACAACTCCCATGAGGCAAAGGGGCCAAGACGGTGCGGAAGTTACGCCATCTTACCCCGGACCGACGGGGAGTTGTAGTTCGCTTTGAAAGTCTCCGTACCGCTTTCGCCTAAATTTTAGGCCCTAAAAGGCAGGAAATGTGTCGTCAAGAATCGGAGCTTCCGCGAAAAGGAGGCAAGCCTTTCGAGAAAAGGCGAGCGACTTCGACAAGGGGCGGGGCCACGAGGCAAGAACCGAGCGGGCGGGAGCTAGCGTGGACCAATCAGATAGCGGGAGGCGGGTCTTCGGCCGGGAAAGTGGGCGTGGCCTGAGGGGAAATCGCCTAGAACGCAGCGGAGGTCCCAGCCCGGGAGAACGCCCTCTGCGGCGAAGGAGAGGTGAGGGTCCGGGGTCTCTGGACGCCTGGGTCCCAGGAAGGAGGGGCGGTGGGGGACTGGAGGGGCTGGAGGCTGAGATCCGGAGGAAGACGGGCTGGGCACCAGCTCTCCGAGGTCCCAGGATAAAAGGGGGCCGGGGGCTTGGATCGCCCCAGACCTGAAATCCCGGATTCCTGAGTCAGTGAGCGAAGAGGGTGCAGGGAGCCCGGACGCTTGGGTCTGAGGAAGGAAAGGCCGGAGGCTCGTTCCGGGATGCCGGGTCCCGGGAAACGAGACGCTTTGATTCTTGCCTCTTGGAGGGAAGAAGAGCGTGCGGCGCTGCGGGCCTGACCTCTGGGTCCAGGAAAGGAGGCGGCTTGGAACAGACATTCTCCACTCCCCGCCCGCACAGGTCACGCCGCCATGCCTCCCGCCGGGCCCCGCGCAGCCCTCCTCCTGCTGCTGCCTCTGCTGCTGCTGCTCCGCGCTGCCCTGGCCCTGCCCCTGGATGGGGGGG